ACACAGTGGCTATCATAATGTTAATGTATCATATATTGTATATGACTGACACATGTTGGATTACAGAGCTACCAAATGAGGATCAATAGCCGATCAGACATCATCAGTAGAAAAAGAGTGATGGATCACACTGAGCATCTCAAGCTTTGACTGCAGCTCTGTGGTCTCAAATATCCCCTGAATCCATCAAAAGTCTTCATATGAGTATCTCACTGATCTGCATCTCACCCAGCTGTCTTGTGTTTATTATCACGTCATCTTAAGTGAATGTATTTCCACCCAGGTGGTTGTGGATCTTCATCTCTCCTCACCATCATCCTTTGTCTTTTCTGGGCCCCTCTGCATTTGTGTATTCATCACTCTTGTGCTGCTGTTTGCCGCAGTGAGATAGACGCTTAGGGACGGATCATTAAACAGAGCTTCGGTCTGCTGGACTAAAGCAGTGAAAATAAGATCAGAGTTTTATGAGAATGCAAATGACATATAATTGTTTAGCAGCCTTTAATGGAGGGTGTCACAGCGGCTCCACAAGTGACCATTGTATGTCATTCCTCGTGGATGTTTCTTAGAGCATCTCAGTGAAGCCTTGTTGTTTTTTTGCAGAGCATGTTCAAAAATCGCTTCACAACTTTTTATACCAATGTTGATCTGGCAATACTTTCTGTGTTTTATTACGTAGCTGTTTGCAGCAATCATCACAGTGAGGGAAAGTATTTATGTGCAGCCATTTAAAATTGAACAACATTTAAAGACACTAAGGTCATGTTGACATACAGTATGATATACGTTGGACTCGGTGCATTTCAGGGTTGAAGTTACAACAGTGTTGCATTTTTCATTTGGTTCAGTTTGCTTTCACACTGCACTTTGTCAAGCGCACCAGTACTTATCAAATGTTGTGTAACGTAGCCACCCGCCACTAGTTGGGGCTGTAGCTTGTGTCAGTGGCTAATGGCCATCCGGGCCTAATGCTGCACTATGACCTCGAAGTAAACAACAGGACAGTGGAAGAATGGCATCCCATAGCCTGTGTAGCCAAAGCCTGCCGTGCTAAATGTGTGACCACATGAAGCACAGTCATTAGCATTGTTACCTACAAGGAGGACTGAAGGCTGGTGTTAGCAATCCTAATGTTAGCAACATTTTGCAAACCGTAACTTATTTGACAACATTTACAGATTGCCAAATTTAACCCACAATGCACTGCATCTCGGTTCCCTTCCCCTGTTTGGTCCAAAACGCATTCTCACCTACAGCAAACCAAACTCTGGTGCACTTGGAAGAAAACCGAGACCCCCCCCTTTTTAAGCAGGTCAGAGTTTGGTTCTTTGGTCCGCACCAGAGAGCTTAGCACGAAAGGCTAACTTTAATGTGACTCAATAACAGGCAATACAATGGCCGGCCTGGTTTGCTTTTTTAAGTCATATAGAAGCATTACTTTAACATCAACAGTGTTTCATAACCAGGTAAAAAAAGACCACTTTCATTTTTTGGGGGATAAAAAAAGTATATTTTATTCTGAAACTTTTTCTGTTTGGGCTCAAATTAAGTTGTCTTACAAACTTCTGCAATTACTTCATCACCAAGTTTCAGGTACCAATCAATATCTTATTATCAAGGCTCATCAACCTTACCCTCAATATAAGTATCCTAATGCCAGCCCTGATTAATGCCAGCATGCCAATAACGGTCCAAGAGTGTAACAGAAACGTCTACGTTTCTTCTCCCCTCCTCACACTGATGAACTTAAAAATCGTTTCTGTTTTTTAATGGATTCCCTTCATTTTCTCAGATGGGACACACACATTGAAGAGGCGGGTATTAATGTCACAACAGTTTACTACTTTCACCCCATTTGTGCGTCACTGCTTAGAAAATTATAAGTCCAGAAACACTACATTGGGGTTTGTGCGTCATTGGAGGTTTGGTGGCTAATCCTGTGTTCCAGCCGGGTCCCCACTGGCAGGGCTGAGGCAGAGGGCAGAACCATGTTGTCAGTGAACCCGCGAGTGTCCCGATAGCCTTCTAATAGCTCTGGTAGCACTGGTCCTTTCCTCCGCCTCCGCTTTGATGTGTGCCCTCCTTCTTAGACCACAGGCAACGGGGGAATAGCTGCGTGATCGGGGTCCCCTTCAGTCTAATCCGCCAGAATGTTTCACTATGACAAATCCCTCAATGTATTGATGTTGATCCAAACAGAAGAAAAAGTTTAGGGCAAAGTTTTTATCACTGAGGGTTAGTTTTTTTGGGGGATATTGGACGAGACAGAAAAAAAAACTGGAAGAGGAAAAGAGGAAGCTACATTTTCCTGAGGAAGTTAATGAAAGTCCTTGAAGTGAGGCGAGGGAAGCTGTCACCTGCCCCGGTGATAGATAGCAGGCTGGCTATTATTAGCATCCACAGCCCCAGAGTTTTATGCCTTACTAGAGCCATTTGTTGATTAATTAATCAGGTAATGTATGCTATCCGTGCTACAAAAGAACCAGATATAGCTCCCTCGGCCTCGTCTGGGCTCTCTGCAAAACCACAAACCAGGATCTCCCACCAGGCCGCAGTGCATTCAAAAGATTACAATTCTAAAAGCAGCCGCTACCAAAGAGAAGCCACTTACACAGAGGTCCTGACTGCTTTCAATGTAAAGTGGAATAATAAACATCCATGAAGGAAACAGGATCCCATTTCATGAATATATTCACTTCCACAGTCAACCTTGTCTGATTTTTTTTTCAGCATTCTGAGAAAGTTTTCAAACTGTCAAATAAAGCTCAGCTACGAGGACAGTATAAATAACTGGGAGTGAAGCACGGCGACTCGGAGACAGCAGAGCTTAACGCTTCCCCTTGTTCCTCTCTCTGAAATAGTACAGTACTGCTCCAAACAATGGAACATGGTAATCAATGAAGTCTGTGTGTATCCTGCAAAATCATTGAGCTCAGCTGGGTAATATAAACAGTCAATAAAAATCTGTGGTTATATGTATTGGTTTATTCCCAGGTGAGGCCACATGCCCTCATAGGCATGCACCTGTTATTTACTTTCTTAACAATCATCAAAATGGACTATATAGGCAGCCTTTATTTTCTACCAACTGGACAATCATTCAAAGTATAGGGTTTGAGGTTTTAACATTTTTGTAGGTTTGTGAAAATATACACTTTTAAGACAAAAGACAGGACAAATAATTAGCATACATTAAATGACTTGGTGTTTGGGTACGCTTTATAATTAGTTGATCATAGCTGCTCTGTGCATCCAGCATGTTGGAAGTCCGGTGAGGTAGAAGAAAGACATGGCATGGTCCGCCTCTGGGGCGATGGACAAGTCAAATAATGCAGGAAATGAAGTTTTAATTCATGTGTGAAACAAAAATAGAATGGCATTTTTTTTAACCCATGCATAGCGTTTCTTCACACAGACTCTTCCCTGGGTGGATGTGGCCCAGTTGGTAGAGTCGGTTGTGTCCTAACCAGTTGGGGTTCGATCCCAGCTACTGCAGCTACATGTCCGATGTGTCCTTGGGCAAGACCCTTAACTCCAAGTTTCTCCCGCTGTCCATTTTATCCATTTTATATGTTGACTTTTTTTTTTAAGCTGTTTCTAGTCGCAATAAAGAGAGAACCAGCAGAGTGGGAAGCGCCTACTTTAACATTAATAATACAGTTTGTGTCCATGCAGGGGCCATGTCCTCACCTTTATCCTGAAAGAATCTCTAAACTGTCATTTTCTGAGCAAGTAGTTTTGCATATAATATGTTTTTTTCATGGCCAAATATAAAGAGAAGTACTCATCCTGGGATACAAAAGATAGATGTGGCTCACAGATGTGCTATTTCCTTTGTCAAAATGACCATGTGCAATTCCTGGATCTCTGTCTGTAAAACATCCTTTTTATGTATCCTGCTGTATTTCTACTTCCTCCACAGCTGGCACCTTTGAGGAGCAATAGGAAATGACATCATATGGTCATGATCTTGTCTTTCCTGCTCTGTCTCACCGGGGAGAATATCTCTTAATCCTGAGGACAGGCACAACGATTTATTATGCTATCTTAGTTTCAACCACTAGCACCTTGTTGTGTGTAGTACAGTATTATCTGTTTCAGATAATAGAGATGTCAATTAATTGTGTGTGTGTGTGTGTGTGTGTGTTTGTGAGTTTGCAACTCTGTAAATTTACTGTACTCCATGTCAACTGCATGCCTCCTTTCCATTTTCCCTTCCCTCATCATTTTCTCACACCCTTCAGTCAGCCAGAGGCTTCCAGTCATTTATTCTTCCAGCACCAAGCTCGGGCCGTCCGGATGAATTTACGATCATCGGCTCGGCTTATTCTCACCTCGCTGTAAAGCTGTAACAGATTTACCACCACCAGTGTGTCACCCTCGTCATTAAAATGTAAAAGTTTGCGACTCTGCCTAGAAAGTTACAAATGATGGCAGGCAGCGCGGCCGCTTCCTCCACTTACACTTGCGCCCAGTTGAAGGTAGTTTGTTCCCTGCTCGCTCAGAAACTAAATCATGTGCTGTCACTGCTCCGTCACTCTTAAGTAAAGTCTACAGCTTAGGGAGGAAATGGGGAGCTCATCCTCTCCTTCATAAAAAAGGTAGTGTTGCCGTTTTATACTTTTTGCAGACAACACACTGAGGCTTTTTTTTTTTCACTCTCCACGATGGAGAGTTGGCAGGAAGGGGATTCACATCATTGAGTTATTTCCTGATATGTCTTAGAGCAGTTTGATTGCATTTATATGAAAATGGCCAAGTTATTCTTTCAATAACGAAAGGATGCCTTTGGAGACTCCTCCTGAGCTGTCTCCCCCGTACACATCCTACCTGGAGGATTTTGACAGTTTGACACTTTAATTTCCTACGGAGTATTTCACCTGAATTTAATGGACAAAGAAAGAGACATGCTGCTGTAGAGAAAAAAATAACATATTGGGTTGGAAATTATTAAAGCCTTGGTGTGTGCTAAATCCTTTCTGCCCCTCTGTATTACTCAGGTTCGGGAAGCACCGGAGGGACGAGCGTCCAGGAGACAGGATGGAAAGGAAGGGCTCCAGTAAATCTAAAGCTGAGGACATGCAGGCGTCAGAGGAGGAGACCCTGCGGATGAGGCTGGAACAAGAGAGGTGAGTGCTCATACAGAGCCCTGGCTTGCTAAAAGCCTTCACAATTAAGCCCCAGCCGAACAAAACAAACAAAAAATACTGCTGACCGGAAAATTAGCAAACAACCTAATTAACAAAATGGTGAATCGAGGTTTGGAAATTTCTGGGAAAGCACTCGGATGTCAATTTGTGAAACGTCCTTTGTCTTTTATATCAGTACATTAAATAGATCATTTATGGATTGTTGTTGCCTCTGCCATTCAAAGGCGCTGACCTCCTAATGGTCCTCGTCGGCCCCTGTGGATTTGGCATGATTGAATGGTGCTCATTATAATAGTGAAATCGATGTAGCTCTGCATTTGTCTTCTCCTGCAGCTCGCCCAGGTTGTTAATCGCTCAAGTCTTTTTTATCTGCCCCCTCTTGGCTCCATGTCCTCTGGTATTTGTGGACAACAGGACATGCAGGAGAATGAGGCGAGGCGTTGGATTTTCTGTGCTCTTATCCACTCACAAACAAGTCCAATTCAATTCCCTGCAGCGGAGGACACAATATAGGTGGCAGGGTGAATGAAAAGACAGCTTGCTGCCTCCATTGTTCTCAAGCAGCCAAATGAACTCAGTAATCAAACTGGCATTGGTAATAATGGCTAATTGAATTCAAACAATGAGGCTCGATACGCTCCCTCTTTCTGCGAATGGAAAGAAGGATGTATGACTGTCAGAAAATACATGCTACCAAAAACACAAACAAATGCTTCCAGAAGCCCACTCCCCTTCTGAATGGAACATCTGGAGGCCTAGCTTCAAAAGCCGTGGCACATTTCTTTTGAGTATTCATCTGTGACTTGCAATGAAGGTCTCCTCCACTGTGAACCCCCTATGGCTTAGGGCCCAACACATTTCCTTCAGCGCTCCCTGGAGACTGCCTGGGCCTGGCCCTCCATCCAGAATTTGTCCCCTTTGAGAGTCTCCCAAAGGACTGTCAGTCTGAGAAGCAGAATCAGCACAGACATTCAGTGGGCACAAGATGTGTGGAGTGCATACCCTCACAACCCTCGTCTCCCCACAAACACATTCATGCTATTTAATTCTCATTCCTTCTCCCTATTACAACTGTCACCCATTTTCTTTGTCTTCTACTTTGTGGGGGCACACTCTCATTCCCAGATCTGTTTGGGTCCGTTCTGCATGTCTGAGCTCCGGTCTCTGCTCCCAGTGCAAGAGGCCAACCTAATTCTTTCCTATTTTTACCTGTTCTCAAATCCCATCACTCAGCCAGACTGGAATTGTCCCTCAGTTAATGGAAACAGAATCCTGAGGGAAATCGTTCTTGGTAATAGTAACCCAACCTGCCATGAAGACCGGTCGATATTCAAAGCGTCAGGGTTCAGCAAGACGACAGCTCAGAAATCCATTACTTCTTGTACTTTTTTTGGTAGTAACACTGCATAACACTCTCAAGGTGTTACGTTTGATTGTCGTAGTTCTCTGCTCAAGGCACAAACATTGATTGATTACATTGCCGCGGCGGAGACAGGGCCATTCAAGAGTGCCTTTATGAAATTATGGATCGGGCCGTAGCGGGCTCTCTCGAAGTTGGCAATCGCCGGCCAGCACCGTGTGTCAGCACGACCCGACGTGGGCTGCAGCCAAACTCCCGGCTCGGCTGACATTAGCGATCATTAATTCAAGCAGACGGCTTTGACAGGGGCTTTTAGTGATTCAGAATAGGAGTCAGTGAAGAGGTGAGGCCGATTAATTCATAAAACCTGCCCTTTCTACTCTGCAATAAGGCGGCTATGGCCATATATTTAAAACTCTGACCTTGATATGATTCATGCAATTTATGGTTTGGCCTGCACTCCTCGCAGACACAGCTCATCTATTTAGAGTTAGAATTTTCTCCTCTATTGATATCTTGTCAGCTTAGCTTACGGACTAAATATGACAGAGAGGAGAGTTTATAAAACTCTGACTTCATGCGGGGGCATGCAGCTTTGGTGCATCCACTTGATGAAGAGTGCTTATCAGCCACATTTGTTTTTGCTCAAATCTGGCAGATTGTACTCATCTCATGTGATTGACTGTTTCATGTCTCATGAAGACTGCGTTAAAACCTGTGGTTAGGCTGATGTAAATCTTTGTTTAGCCCAGCAGAAACATCCATTACTCTGTTTTTTTCCTGCCTGCGGCCAACACCCGAAACATCCCAATCTGATGGGCTCATGTTGAGAGGACTGTGGTCAAAACAAGCCCTCTGATTGGACCTTCTGTGTGTTGGAAAGGAGCTATGTCTGTGGCTTTGGCCCTTATTCATGCAAGGCCAAGGGGTGGAAAAAAGAGAGAAAAACCACAGGGATGGTACTGTTGTTGAAGCGTCTATCAGTCTCTGCCTTATCTCTGCACATGTTAGCCCTGGAACTATGTATTCCTGGCCAAAATGGAAAGCACACAAAAGACAACCTGACAATGTTCCTTCTTCATTTTCTGCCTGAACCAAACTCCATTCTCTGTCTTGCACTCTGGCAGCTGATTATGATGTCCATTCCCTCTTATCTGCTTGGCTCCGGTTGGCTTCTAATCAGCAGCCAGCACTCCACCGCCACTCTCCTCTTTCGTGCTCCCTAGACCACAGCAGAGCACATCCCTGATTCCCCCCCGCCTCCCCCTCTGTCAGTGGTCTGCTTCCTCTTGGTTGTTGTTTGACTCTCTGTTAACTCTAGATAAACACAACCTGACTAGGGTTTCTGGACTGGGTTACACAATTCACTTTAAACAGTCAACCTGGATGAAGAGCTAGAACTTTGTATTTCATTCAGCTATTAACTGTTTCTTTCTTCTACCCTGTTGAGCAAGTCATTTTCTTTACGATAAATCTCAGTTTTTTCCATCATGATGACTGTACTTAACGACGTTATCATTCCACTTTATCAAACCATCTGATTAATACGGTATCTTATTGGAGTCTTATTTGCATAAAGAGTTCAAAGGAAGATCCAACTGGCTGATTGGGAAGTATGATTGTGTTTGTAATTATATTGATACCTACAGCAAGTTAATGCGATTGTTACACAGAGAATTAACACTGTGAAAACTTGCACAATTATCTCTGTGATTGCATTATGCTGTTACGAGCCAAGTGTCAACACGAAAGATGGGCTATCTAAGGTTTGCGATTCTGCACAGACAGCTGCACGCAGAGTCATTTGTGCCACTTTGATTGGATTCAGATACATTCTGGCCTCCATCTGCACTTCAGAACAAAAGACTGTGTTTTGGTGGAGGAGTTATTAAAAAGAAAAAAAGTAATCTATTCAAGACAGCTGGATGAGAAAGTAAAAGAGCATGCTAACAATGCATATTGAGGAGGCATGCGTTCAAGCTTCTAAGTGTGTTGACTTCAAAATGAGTGTCTGAGAATACAGACGGCCTCCCTACACCCTCCCTGCTTTCCTTTTCGCCTCCCCCCCAGCCTCCCTTGGGTAGATTTCACATTGACAAACATATGGAGATGGAGTCTGCCGGCTTTGTTGGTCCAGAAGAACAACAGTGTAGGATAAACAGTGAGCTGTATTTAGTGTGGAAAGAGAGGGCTTGAGGTGAGCTGAAGTGTTGCTGCCAGCTCACACCAGGTCTTTCATTTTACCTATTTAATCTGTTAAAGTAATTACTACATGACAGCCCTCTGCGTCCACATTCATGCCTCTGAAATGTTACTTTTAGCATCATTACAAATTCAGCTTTCGTAGAAATTGAGCGGCTCAATGTGGTGCTTTGAATAACAGGAAAAAAATATCAGTAAGGGTTTAAAAAGGAGGGATGTTAAAGAAATAATGTCATCGGGCTGACACATAATTTTCTTGAAGACATGGTCTGTCAGTGGATTAGTGGGTGAACTCTATCTGCCCTGAAAGCCTCAGCATTACACTGTCTAGACTCTCTGCTAGCCAGGAGGAAATGCCTTTTGACTTCAACGCTATATGCAAGTTGGTTAGCATTGTATTCTGCACAAAGGTACACATGGGGTCAGTTCTACTTCTAAGATTATACAGTAGAAGACAGACGACATACTGTATAAAGACCTTAAAGAAACCAGGCAATTACTGACATAATACTGGAATAATCTTCCTCTCTGTCATCATTGTAATTAAAATGAAAATCCTCAGCAGAGCTGCTATGAAGCTCCGCAGCTCGACCGTCCCCCCTTTTTGAAATAAAACCTCCCCGGGCTGGTCGCATTAACAGCCACTGTGTCGTCCCCTCTCAAACGTAGTGTCGGCTAAGAGGAGAAGAGAGGAGAAGGGGCTGGTAATTGGGGCTGTACAGTAATAATGTGTTTAGTGTGGGCAGCACTTTCCTTAGTGTTAACATGCTGGGCCATTAATTGGCTAATGGAGTATATATATATGGTACAGTGCGGGGGTGGTCTCTCGGGAGAAAGGGGGGGGAAGGAGAGGTGGTAGAAGTGGAGCAGCAGTCGCAGGTTACCCAAGAAAAACACAGGTGGCAGGTGTGCAGCTGCGGAGCAAGACAATGGATACCAATTTCAGAAGGATAGCTATTATGATATTTCAGGCTGGACCAAAGTGCTGGGCTATCATCTTTTTCTTTTCTTTTTTGCAAATGAGATGAATAAGAATGTCACTTTTAGGTGACACAGTTGCTAAACGAATGGCAATGTCATTATTGGAATGTCAATAATGACATCTGGTTAATAATATACACTTGGGAATTTAACAGTCAAACATCCATAGTGTCATAAATACATTTAGGACAACACTGGAAACACTGGAGCACAGGTACATTGGTAGGTAGACGTCTAACAATGAACTGACACAGAAGGGAAGAAACCCAGAGACATAATACAAGGGGCACACAGTGGGGGAATGACATGTGGGAAAGTAGCTACACGTCGGATTCGTCAGCGTCCCAGTGCCCCAGTTCAGCTAGAACAAGTTGGGATCTCTCACTGCAGACTGACAGGTATGCATGCAAATGAGTTTTCTTCATGAACAAACAGTTAGATTATTGTCCAGCAGAGTCATGACCTCTGCCTGAAGATCGGAGGATTTGATGAGACCGGGGCCTCATATTGAAAAAGGATGACAAAAACAAAGAGATAGTAACTCATTACACTCATAACAAGAGCATGACTCTTTTTTGGGGCTTGTTAATATCTCTTAATTATATCTCACCTAATAGCTTTATCCATGTCAGACTCCTGAGACCTGCAAGAGAAGTCTCTCTCTTTTAGCTTCATGTCGCCACGGCCCATTATCTCGTCCCAAATGTCAATACAGCCTTTTTTATGAATCCGATTAGTCCATAAAACGCCAGAGGGTCTTGAGATCCCAGCAGACTTCCGTGAACCTGTGGTAACATCATTGTCTGGCCCTTCCTGGCAGAGATCTGACATCACTTTAGGCCAGATGGCAGGTGAAAGGGCTTGTGGGAATTAGTGTTTTTTTCTCCCTGTGATGCTTGTCCTCCATTTCCTGATATCACAAGCTACAGCGAGACAACGCTGAGCACACACAAGTGCACTGTGAGCTGATCATTTCCATTTTGTACCTGGTCTGCGACTATGCAAATACACACCAAGGCTTTATATTTGACTGGGTATCACGCAACATTGCATCAGGCCTCCATCAAAATCTCATTCTGAAGATAATGCTGAGAAAATGGGATTTTGGTCGGCTAAAAATAAACAAGGCAGTCTGCGGTTGGGATGTGGGAATTGGGTTAATCCGTCACTGAAAAATGGTGATTGTTTGAAATGTGATTACTGTTATTAAAATACACAGACATGGGAGAGAGAGTCAGGCTGGAAGGGATTCCAGCTTTGTTCCAAACCTGTCAATCATCTGTGAGAAGCAGCAGCGAGGGGTCAGAGGTCGCTCATAACCTGAGGTAATAGGGAAGTCTAGCACCAGTGGGAGGTATGTGTCTGCATGCATGTGTGTGTTACCCTGCAGCAGGGATACAACATCTGGAACCAGTGAGCAGTCTAGTGGCTGCTGCCAGGGTCACCGCAGTGGGAGGTCAACTCCCTCCCTCCACTTGTCCTCAAACCCTTCTCCTCTGTGTTCCCCATCGCCCCCCCCCCCCCTCGCTCCCGTGCCGAACCATGACTGAGTCTTGTTTGCTGTGGACAGATGGGTATTCACACGGAACCGTTCTCCAGCACAGGAGAGGCTCTGTGAGAGGCTCTGTTGCGCGGAAGTGATCCCGGGGAGAGGAACGGCATGGAGGGAGAGGAGGAAGGAGGAAGAGGATGTCTAACTGTATTCTTCCCACCTCCTGTTGTTAGAAAACCTGAGGCACCAGAGCAGTACACTCCTCTCTGCCCCCTACACGCTCATGGAAAGCCACTTAGACTCTTGTTAAAGAATATTTTCATTTCCTCTCCATTCATTTCCTTTTATTTTGTAAGAGTTAGTTCTTTCTTTTTTTTTTTGTGCTGTTCTTAAACAGAAATCATCATCTTTCCTATATCTGTACGAATAAAGCTTCTACAAATAGGCACATGTTTGAGCTGGGGAGCTAGCTTTTTTTTTATTTTGTGAAAACTTTTGCAATGTTGTTGGAAATGTTTCCATCAGCATAGCGAGATCAAATATTGAATAACGCTTCCTTAATCTTTAAATAAACAAATTTTCCTCTTGGACAAAATACAAGTATCTTTAAAAAAAAAACAATGAATACTGGCCAGTTTTGGCACTTAGCTTCACTCAATAAATACAAAGGAAAATGAAAATAATTGGCAGAATTACAGACATTTCAAACCATCCATAACCTCCTACCACTCAGCAAAACATTGCCATTTGTCCGGCCGGTCATCTGAAACCTCATCAAGTTACATTTTTTGCACAGTTTTCTGCATGTTGTCAGTGATTCCCAAAGTGGGATCTGAAGTTATGACAGGGTGGGCGTGGCAAGCCTAAATAAAATCAGTGCAGACCGTTTTACACAGCCTTGAAAAATGGCAAATTTTGTATAAGGACTTCCAGGTTAACAAAAGTCCAACAATGAATCTACAGCAGACGTCACAACTACTAAAACAAAGACAAGAAAAGACCTGTTCAACAGACGGTAGACTGTGCCGCACTCCTTCCTTTTGCCACATCCTACCTGTGTGAGATAGGTTTTTTTTCTCTGCAGTTGAACCAACAGATACAGACTCACAGCTGTACCTCAGACCTGAGAAGATTTATAACACAAAACAAGCTCACACTAATCATGGAAAATGACTGGAAGTTTAAAACTAAAAGATTTATTTACAGGGATTTGTTCATCTTCAGAGTCGGGTTTAAAAGTAATGACTGTTGTTACATCTTAAATATTTGGAAGTTTCATGTTGTAGTATCACTTTAAATTGCTTTCTTTGTGAAAGCTGTTTGTTAGTTGTTGTTTTTTTTTGTTTTAAAACACTGAAGTTGCTGGTCTGAACTTTTTGTCGACAGTGTTTTAGATCAATTCTAAAAATATAGGAATGTGTGAGCATAGGGCGTGAATGAAGGTGTGTTGAGTGTTTATCTATAAAGGTTTATGTGTGTTGATGTGTATGATGAAAGGTTGAGGGATATTTCCCTCCCTAAAGTGGGGCCGGCAGAAAAAGTTTTGGGAACCACGGTCCTACTCGATAAAAACAGAATAAATTGTATAACATCGATTTCCCTTTTTCAAGTGAATAAACTTGAATCATGTCTTTCCTGTGCCTAATTTTCAAGTTTGACATTTATTCTCTATTCTGTCTCGTTTGTGTTTCTCACAGAATAGCGGCAAAGACTCGGGAGTTCCGGGAGAGGCAGGCAAAAGAAAGGGAATACGCCGAGATCCAAGACGTCGTCAGCCGCACTTTTAGCTCGGATGAGGAGCACACCTACGCTGGCATCGGGTCCTTAGACTCATCAGACAGTAACAGCATCGATCCTTACAACCACCCGTACCACCTCCCTCAGAGTCCACAGAGCCCCCACCTTCCCGTGAGCGTCCAGGACAACGGCCCACCCCTGGAGGCTCTGTATGCGCAGGTCAACAAGCCCCGCAACGGACGCCCTGCAGCTCCAGACAGGTAGGGGGCACCAAAAAAAAGTCATTAAAACGCTACTAAACATACAGATCCACAAAGTGCTTCGTAACGCTCTACCATCCTTGGTCATTCAAACGACACTAACTAGGTTTGGGGCCTTTGTGCTTTGCAACAATCCTGGTCATTTACACCTCATCTATAATGTATGTGGTTATGATCATATTTGTTCTCCTTTGCTTGTCATGGGGTAACACAAAGAAAAACAATGAATTTCACTCGGTGTTTTATCACTGTCGCATCCCACCAGGCATCGCTCCAGGTGCAGGTGGGATGAATCCACAGGCAGGTAGAACAACAGGAGCATATCAGTAATTCTCCATGTGTTAGAATTTAATATCAGGCTGGTGTTGTTGTTGTTTTTTTTCATTATCCTTGGATCACAGGTAATCCTCCCCAGCCTCTCACGTTGAAAGTCACACTGCATGTGAGTTCAGCTTGTTGTCGCTGGGGGGGGGGGGTTAGTAACGCTCATAGCCTCCATGTCAACACGTTTCTATATACCATGAGACGCTTTGGTTTCATGTTCCTGTGTTCTGTTGTCAAAAGGCCTGTTCTCTTTATTAGCCAGTAAATTAATTATTAATAATTAATACAACTTTATCGACTTGCCATTTTCTCGGTCGAATTACATTTGTCTGTTTGACTGTTTGTTCCCTTTATCTTAACTCAGTATCTAATTTGAATATCATCCTGACGCTTACATGCAGCTTTTGTTGGATGTTCATTACAACATTTCCAGCCCATATCATGCCTCATTATTGTTCTAAACTATCTCATCCACTTATTTTAACTCATAACAGAACCAAACAAATCCAAACAGACAGAAGGTGTGTGCTCGTATGTGTGTTTTTTTTAAAAGGAGAATATCTCTGTGGGTTATTTACCTTCTGGAACTCAAACTTGTGTGAATGTTAACACTGAGAGAAGCTCAGTAATCGGGGCTGCTGTGGCTCAGTTGGTCATCTCTTACTGTAAGCAGAAGGTTGGGGGTTCGATCCCCAGCTCCTGCAGCAACATGTCTGATGTGTCCTTGGGCAAGACACCTAACCCCTAGTTGCTCGTTAACCTGTTGCCCCTAGTTGCTTCGTCGGCGGTGTTTAAATGTGTATGAATGGATTAGTTAATACTGATATTCACTTAACATAGCACTACCATCAGTGTGTGAATGTGTAGGTGTGACCTGCGGTGTGAAAGAGCTTTGAGTAGTCAGAAGACGAGAAAATAAATATACAAGCTCAAATCCATTTACCATTTTTACTCCAAACAAGCCGGTTTCATCTTATCTGGCATTTCCTTCTAATGTATTATGCCCTCTGAAAACCAGTAGAGTGGCCCTGACTTTCACCACAGTAGTTGCATGTTTTCTAGGTTTTCTATTAACTGCTTATTTTGGAGAGGAGGAAACCTCTGATGTCAATTCTGCTCATGTCCAAAACCGTGTGAACAAGGAAAACTAAAAAAGCTAATTTAGAAAATTTTTCATCTCACTTTTTTGAGTCATGAACTCGAGGGTACAACTGAAAAAAAGCATCCATAGTTTCTATAATATAAACTTGATTAAGTAGGCAGATTTCTCGTTGGTCTTATCCACTGGTGAGTCAGGAGATTTCCATCCCCACGCTGTCCCAGAACCTTTCAGGGGGAGTTATTAATAGATCGGATAATACCCCCCTCCTGTGACTGACAGCTGTCAGCTGGGGGCATGCGACCTTTCACTGCCGGGCTCAGGTGTGGTGTGGTGACCATGACAGATCACCTGTGTGTGTGTGTGTGTGTGTGTGTGTGTGTGTGTGTGTGTGTGTGTGTGTGTGTGTGTGTGTGTGTGTGTGTGTGTGTGTGTGTGTGTGTGTGTGTGTTCCTTAAGAGGATTTAGAGAGGTAGAATCTCCATCCTGTTCCATCCCCTATGACACGTCAGAGTAGATATGACAAGGTTATCTGTCCGCTGATAGCCGCGTGCCTCTGCATCTGGTGGGCTTAGCGCCGGCCACCGATCCATACGTCCCAAAGTGAAGGTTACCTCCACATGTTTCCTCGTGATAGCCCCGTTGTGTCACAAGCAACTGTAAACTATCCCACTGCCCGAGCAGAAGTTTAAGACGAGCCTGAATGTTTGACTGGCGTTCAATAAGCCAGCTGTGTGTACAGATCACAGGACTCTCAGATGATTGTCAGTGATAGACATGATGCTGTTGACTCTCAGCGGAAATATCAATAAGCTCTGTGCAGAGATGAAGTATGAAAGTGTTAAAACAAGACAATCATATGAATGATTAGGGTCTTTTTTCTTCTTCTTCATCACCAGAGGGAATATTAAAAGCAACCTGCTTAGTAGCTTTCAAAGAAATAAAAGGGACAGAAAAAAAGAAATCCTTCTACATGAGTGGTTTTATTGTAAGCAGATGCTTTGCTACTTAGAAATAGATTACAAAAATAATGTCTCTAATAGATTTAGGTTTGTTCAGATTTAGCTTCATTTCCTCGGACCATCTGGAAGCTCTTCCATGTTTCTGCTTTTTTTTGTCTTACAAATCCGTATCACATCTTTTTTTTAGATTAGAAAATTAAAACAATATTCTTCTCATAAGGTTGTCTCTGAAATATATCCCTTTCAAAACATCAACAGCTTGAGAAGTCCCATCGTGCCTTTCCTGCCTCTTTTTTTTGCAGCTTCTTGGAAGCAGTGAATTCTCACCTTCACGGGTTTGTCTCAGCGTAAAAAGCTTAGTGCTGCATGTTAATTATAAATATGAGCTTATATTTAGTTTGGGGTCCTGAGCCTTGAGTATCAATAGCACAGTGTGGAGTTTTTTATTTGCAGGCACAGGATTAGCTGCTGTGAGTGTTGTGATTTGATTTGAAATATGCGCCGTGTGTTCAACACTGCATTTTTGTTGTTGTTTTGTTTTGCACCTCTAGCTGCTTTGCATATCTTGTGTGTGCCAGCCCGGCTGTACGTCTGTAATGTTTGTCTTGCTGCCTTTGAGATATAATATGCACTGGCTCTTATTTAGCTCGCAGGCTTTCTATTTACAACTTGCAAAAAAAAAAAAGGAGCTTGAAACACATTCAGATTCAAGACTCCTGTCACTTGCTTATCATGACAAACATAAACAGTGATTTGCATTTCTAAATTAAACGTAATGGAACTTTCATTGTCAAATATAAAGCACCAGCACCACAGGTTGTGCAATCATTCTGACGGCTACGCGCATGAAGACAACAAAATTGGATTCTCAACTTCAGTTTTTGCCATGTAGAGAGACAGTATGACTGACTGTGCCTTCACTTTCTAACCCTGCCACTGTTTCTTCAACCCAATGTTTTAAAAGCTGCAAAGATAACAAGAACTTCCTGTTTGAAGGTCGGGGGAAAAGGACGTGGATGAGGTTTGTTCAGGCAGAATGCCCATTCCTGGCTGTCAGTCAGTCTTCAGTATGAAAGAGAAGAATGAGCAGCAGTTGACCCTGACCTGGATCCTGTTTCACCTTCTGAGGTGGACCCTGGAGAGACGCACTCTGATCAAAGGGGGCACATTTAACCACCTTACTTACACAGATATTTGAATTATTTTCCCGTAGAGTTAACGTCCACATTCAGACATCTGACAGCAAGTCTTGCAATCTACCTGAATATACTTCAACACATCATGCTTTCATGTAAACATGCCACAGTGTGTCACAGTATGAACAACAATTACATAATTATGTGTGTTTGAGGCTATCTCTACACTTCTACAGTTTTATCCGATATTATACATGTAGAATTAAAACCAATACAATCGGTCCCTCCACACTAACACCTGAAAACACATCTTCCATGATCACTCACCTTCGTGTTCATGCAAACAGTCACCGGCTCTCTCACTGAAGAACAGCGGAGCTCCATGCAGGGGGATAATGCAGCTGAAACAATTTTCACTAGTATTAAAAAAATGCAGTTTTTAACATGATGATGTCATTCTGGAGAATAGTCACATACAAGAGGAGTGACACACAGCACTTGTTCACACTTGCAACAAACTCCTGAAAAGTTCCTGAAGTTTTTGGAGTTGGGAGTCGGAGTCGGGTCGAGAGCTGCATGTGTGAACTCAAACAGCTGAATGTTTCACTCAGACGTTATCCAGAGTTTCTCCTGCAAAGCCCCGCAGTAGAATTCCCACTTGAGGTCCGAGTGAGCTGATGTGACAACGCAGCAGGATATACATTAATCAGGAGAATTTATCTTGTGCGAGTAGGAGAGGGTCTGCACAGGATCTTCCTCTTTTGCATGCAAATTAAACTACTGCATTATGTTTTCTGTTCACCAGTAAATTCTTCTCCACTCTTCGATCTCCATTTTAAAGTTTTGTGCCAAAACACAATTCAAAGGAATATAAGTCAATGGTTTAAACGGCAGAATTGACTTTCAAACAACATGTAGCTTCTTTTCCAAAAGTACTGACTTAAGCCTAAACATAGGAAAAGTTAAAAAGCAAATAGTGTGGATGTAGCCTGAGTTAAGTTTCAAGCATGTCGACATAGTAAAGTTTAATCTGTTTATTTATTTATGTCATTATTAAAATCCATGTATACATAAGTTAGTAAAGTCAACCGTTCTGTCGTTGGCTTGTTGACACGTTCTCCTACAGCACAGTAAATAACATGACATGGGATGTCACCATGGTGGATGCCATCTCCTGATTATCATATGACCTCTAGCAGCGTAGCAGCAACTGCACAAATTGTACTGGTTAAAATTGGTTCAAGGGAAAAAAGTAAATGGAAGCAAATTGAGTTGAAATTAGCAGACAGCCTTTCCTTTTATTTTTCAGCCTTGGCCAGAAAGAAAAAAGCCACCAAAGGCTGAAGCGAGGTGGTGAGTGTGTTTTGAGGATGACTGCACTCGAACTAATCAGGATCTTACATCTAAAAGCCACCTCGTCAAACGGTCACATAGCTGGAGAGACATCAATCAACGCCTGTGCACCCAGGAGTTCAGTTT